ATGAAGGACTGCAAGTAAAAGGGGGAACATCCCTGGGTTCAGGTACAAGTATTGGGGCGTTGGGAGAGGGGGGCTTAAAGGCTTAGGGACTTTTAGGGGACTTGGGGGGCTTCAGAGGTTGAAGGGCTTCTAGGTACGACGGGGCTTACCCCTGAACAGCTAAACCCATTTTTCCTATGTACCTGAACAACCCTAAATAAGCCCTAAGGTCCCTTAGGAGGGTCCCTCCTTTAGTCCCTCCTAACCCGAAACCCGAAACCCTAAACCCTAAACCCTAAACGCCCAGTCCTTCTTTGTTCCAGGCAGTCGCAGTGTTTCCCGCTCTCGCCCATCCGGGAACTTCTCCTGGTCGCAAACCCTGCACCCTAAACCCGTAACCCGTTTAGGGTTTAGGGTTTGGGGTTTGGAGTTTAGGGTTTAGGGTTTATGTTTTAGGGTTTAGGGTTTAGGGGGTTTAGGGTTTAGTAAGGGTTTAGGGCAAGCCCGAAGCGAAGTCCCTTTCACCCAAACCCCGAGCCTTCATCCCCCAAAGCCTTCATCCCCCAAAACCCCAAGTCCCAAACCCTCAACACCGAACCCCAAATCCCCCAAAGCCCCAGATCCCAAACAGACCCCACACAATCCAGAACCCTACTTGGAGGTTCATGGGGAGTTTAAAGCATGGATATAAGTATGGGAACCATACTAAAACTCTACTTAGGGGACTTATGAACCCTCTGTTAGCTACCCCATGAACCTCCAAGTAAGACCTCAAACCCTCCTCGGCATAACTTCCTGTGCAGTGTGGTCCGTAAGAGAGCCACCGGTGCACGGCGACACAGAAAACCCTAAACCCTAAACCCTAGACCCTAAACCCTGACCCTCAACCCTAAACCCTAAACCCGTTGTTCCTGGGTTTCCACTTGAGTGGGTGGGTGGCCTTTTCTGGGAACGGCGGACCCCAGGCCTTCAGCCCTGCACCCACCGGAACTCAACCCCCAAACCCCAAACTCAAAAACCTGAACCCTTAACCTTGAGCCCTTAACGCTGAACCCTAAACCCAAACCCCAAACCCTAAACCCTAAACCCCAAACCTGAAACCCTAAACCCCAAACCCATACCGCCACGAAACCGGCCTTGAACTCCACGAGGAGGCGCGAGCCGTCGCTGGGACGGAGCTTCCTCGTGGTTAGGGTTTAGGGTTTAGGGTTTGGGGTTAGGGTTTAGGGTTTAGGGTTTGGGGTTTAGGGTTGAGGGTGAAGAGTTTAAGGTTTGGGGTTTGGGGTTTAGGGTAGGGTTTATGGGGTTTACAGGGGTTAGAGGGTTTGTAGGGCTCACAGGGTTTATAGGAGTTCACAGGGTGTATGGGGTTCATAGGGTTTATAGGGTTTATAGGGTTATAGGGTTTATAGGATTCAAAGGCCTGTATGGGTCGATAGGGTTCAGGGCTGAATGAAAGTATTGAGAACCCTCCTTGCAGCCACCTACAAATCTAAAGGGAAGACCCTAAACCCTGCACCCTAAACCCTAAATCCTGAACCCTTCATCCTAAACCCTGAACCCTAAACCCTAAACCCCTAACCCCACGCAATCCAAGGGCCCGGCAAGACCACGACATCCACCACGCGAACCTCCGAACGGCCGGGGGCATGGCCAAAGTGAGGCGTTTTCCGGGGTAAGCTTCTTGCACAAGAGGCCCTAAACCCTAAACCCTAAACCCTCAGGGACCGTAAACCCTGAACCCCTCCCCCCCCCCCACACACAAAAAAACACAAACTAAGCTCCAGAGACTCCCCCCCCCGCAAGCACCCCTCTGCGCCACCGGCCGTGGAGGGAGGTTCTTGCTTTCGGGACTCAGGAGTTTAGGGTTTAGGGTTTAGGGTTAGCTCAGGAGTTCAGACTTTAGGGTTTAGGGTTGAGGGTTTAGGGTTTAGGGTTTAGGGTTTAGGGTTTAGGGTTTAGGGTTTAGGGTTTAGGGTTTAGGGTTTAGGGTTGGCTCAGGAGTTCAGACTTTAGGGTTCAGACTTTAGGGTTTAGGGTTTAGGGTTTAGGGTCCCGGAAACTGCCCCTGTGGCTGCGGCGAGCTTCTTGTGCTGCTGCGCGTCCAGCATGAGCCTCCACGTGACTCCACTCAAAATCAACCCCCGGAGCCCTACAGCACTTAGGGTCCCTCTACCCTAAACCCTAAACCCTAAACCCTAAACCCTAAACCCTATATAGACCCTAAACCCTAAACCCTAAACCCTGTTCGTGGGTGGATATGATGCGGTTTCATGTTAGAGTACCTTGCTTTGGACTCAGTTTGGCTTCAGCTGCTTTTTTGATTCTCAGCTCGCATCTCCGCATCGCGATTGGCTTACTCTAAATCTGCAACCCCAACCCTACATTTTCGTCCAAGCCTCACAAAGGGCTCTTCAACTCCTTCTTGAGGCAAGCCCAAGCCTCAAAATGCAAACTGCCACACCCGAAACCCTCCACTTCCCGCCTCGAGGCACCGGTCTCCACTTCCTTGGCAAGCTGGTCCAAGCCCTTCGCCTGCCCAAGGCTTCAGGGCTTGAGGGGCTCTGGAGGGTTGGGTGTTTGGGGGGTTTGGGGGGTTTGGGGGGTTTGGGGGGTTTGGGGGGTTTGGGGGGTTTGGGGGGTTTGGGGGGTTTGGGGCTTTGGGATTTGGGGTTTTAGGGTTTTCAAGGTGTAGGTCAGGAGGGGTAAAAAGGGCGCTTGGGCTGTTCGGGGGGTTGGTGGTTCGTGGGGTTAGCACGACAGCCTGCGTTTCATGTCATGCACCCTATGTCCCAAGGTGAGAATCGCCAAGCCACAAGATTCCAGAGTCTAGAGCCCGAGGAGCGCGGAAACCCCTGCCCCAAAGACCTCAAAGCCCTCAAAATTCCCTGAACCCGGACATACCCTTCTTTGGTTTGGAGGGATTCACAGGGATCCCAAGCCCTGATTCACAAAGCAGGAGGGTCTTATATCGACTTAGGGTTTGGGGCTTGGGGCTTAGGGCTTAGGGCTTAGGGCTTAGGGCTTAGGGCTTGGGGCTTAGGGCTTAGGGCTTAGGGCTTAGGGCTTAGGGATCAGAACCCTGCGCCTTCGCCACGCCAAACACGTTCGGATCGATCTGGTGCCTGGAAGAACCAGCAAGGTGGGTCGTGAGGTGCGGTACTGGGAGCAGGGAGATCTTTAACGGAGGAAACTTGGGATGTTCCCCCGTAGACTAACAGCGCCGTAATAGGGATGATCATAGGGGGGGGGCACAAAAGTCCCCATGGAGGACTGTTAGTAGAAGGGTGAACATCCCAAGAGGAAACTACATTCCGGCCCTTGTGTCCCTGCTACAGTTGTCTTGCTCCCTGGCCCTAAACCTCAAAGGACTGTGATAAACCCCTAAAACCCTGAACCCTGAACCCTAAACCCCAAGCCCAAAGCCCAAAGCCCAAAGCCCTAAGCCCTAAGCCCTAAGCCCTAAGCCCTAAGCCCTAAGCCCTAAGCCCTAAGCCCAGGTCTCTGGGCACCCAGGCTCCACCAGGGTCTTCCGGAACATCGCCAGGTCCATCGGATCGTCCTGAGGTTTAGGGTTTAGGGTTCAGGGTTAAGGGTTTAGGGTTTAGAATTTAGGGTTCAGGGTTTAGGGTTTTGGGTTCAGGGTTCAGGGTTTAGGGCTTTGGAATTTCGGTTTAGGGTCTAGGGTTAGCTTAAAGCTTGCGGCTTGAAGCTTGAAGTTTAAAGTTGAACGCTCAGGGTTTCAAGCTGAATAAAGCTGAAGGTTTGGGGTCTCGGGGGCCTTCCTAGAGTTTATAATCCTCATAACCCACCTTACTATCCCGACTCAGGGCTTAAGGTTCAGATTCAAGGCTTAGGCCTTGAATCAGGGGCATTCAGTAACCCTAAACCCTAAACCCTAAACCCTTAAAGTCTTTGGGCTCAGGGGTCTCCATGTGCGGAGCACGCGTGCCGAAACCCCCAGGCGCCAAATTCTGGGGCGAGCCATCCCACACATCTCGAGAGCTGGGTTCAGGGTTTAGAACTGTGGGTTTGGGGTCTAGGGTTTAGGGTTTAGGGTTAGGGTTTAGGGTTTAGGGTTAGGGTTTAGGGTTTAGGGTTTAGGGTTTAGGGTTTAGGGTTTAGGGTTTAGGGTTTAGGGTTTAGGGTTTAGGGTTTAGGGTTTAGGGTTTAGGGTTAGGTTTAGGGTTTAGGGTTTAGGGTTTAGGGTTTAGGGTTTAGGGTTTAGGGTTTAGGGTTTAGGGTTTAGGGTTTAGGGTTTAGGGTTTAGGGTTTAGGGTTTAGGGTTTAGGGTTTAGGGTTTAGGGTTTAGGGTTTAGGGTTTTAGTGTTTAGGGTTTAGGGTTTAGGGTTTAGGGTTTAGGGTTTAGGGTTTAGGGTTTAGGGTTTAGGGTTTAGGGTTTAGGGTTTAGGGTTTAGGGCACGAATGGAACGAATGGGTATCTGGGATCGGATCGTTTGGACTCAAAGCATAATTGGGGATCCAACCCCCACAACCCAGATGCCACAAGTTGATCACTCTTTTCCAGGACACTGGGACCTCCCCCGAAAACCCATCCTAAACCCTAAACCCCAAACCCTAAGCCCTAAACCCTCTACCCTCTAAACCCCAAACCCAGTCCTTCGGCGCAGTGCTCATGTTGTCAAAGTCCAGAAGGCGATCTCCCTTGACCTGCCACGAGTAGGGGTGCTTCCGGCTTTGGGGGGCCGGTGCGGAGCTGGAGGCTGTTTTGGAAAGACCCCTTTCAGTGGTTTAGGATTTAGGGTTTAGGGTTTAGGGTTTAGTTTAGGGTTTAGGGCTAGGGTTCAGGGTTGAGGGTTGAGGGTTGAGGGTTGAGGGTTGAGGGTTGAGGGTTGAGGGTTGAGGGTTGAGGGTTGAGGGTTGAGGGTTGAGGGTTGAGGGTTGAGGGTTGAGGGTTGAGGGTTGAGGGTGGAGGGTTGAGGGTTGAGGGTTGAGGGTTGAGGGTTGAGGGTTGAGGGTTGAGGGTTGAGGGTTGAGGGTTGAGGGTTGAGGGTTGAGGGTTGAGGGTTGAGGGTTGAGGGTTGAGGGTTGAGGGTTTTGCCTGCAAGCCTGAGGGGAGATCTCACAACCCACCATCCTTGTATGGGCTTTGTGGCTGGGCAGCCTTGCCTAGAGATAGATCTACGGTTTCCCAACTTAATCCCAGTTGTAACTCAACCCTCAACCCCAAACCCTAAACCCTCGAAACCCTCATTCCTACACCCATAACTCGAACCCTAGACCCTAAATCCTAAACCCTCTAAACTCTCATTCCTAAGCCCGTAGCCCAAAAACCCTAAAACCCTGCAAATCCTCATTCCGAAACCCGTGAGCCTTCAAGCAACCCTAAACCCTAAACCCTGAGCCCTAAACCCGAAACCCCCCCGACGCACCTGGTCCTGAGACATCCACTCATAGGAGGCCTTGCCGCCCTGCACCTCACAAGGAGGAACTTGAGGGTTGAAGGGTTGAGGGTTGAGGGTTTAGGGTTTAGGGTTTAGGGTTTAGGGTTTAGGGTTTAGGGTTTAGGGCTTGGAATTCGGGGTTTAGGGTGCAGGGTTTGGGGCTTGAGGTTTAGGGGTTCAAGGCTTGAGGGGTCTGCCTAAAGCAGCAAAGAAGCCCTGAAAGATCCTTGGGATTGGATCTGCCGGGGCTGGGGCTCAGGATTCTTTGGGTTTAGGGTTTAGGGTTTAGGGTTTAGGGTTTAGGGTTTAGGGTTTAGGGTTTAGGGTTTAGGGTTTAGGGTTTAGAGTTTAGGGTTTAGGGTTTAGGGTTTGGGCTTGGGACGGATATACCCCCCACATCCCACATCCCCAACCTCAGGAAAGCTCCGCAGACAAACAACCCAAAAACCAAAAACCCCAAAACCCTCAAACCCTCAAGTACAAAAAAACACTAAACTCACTGAACCCTCAAACCCTCGAACCCCAAGCCCTCTTAAACGTTCGCTGAATCTGGGGCCACGGGCGATCTTGTCCGCGACCACAAACTTCTTGTGCTTGTGATTCTGCAGCTGCTTCCTGAGGGACTCTGCGGCGGTCAAGGATTAAGGATTCTAAGCCCGCAACCACCACTGGAACCAAGCCTCAAAAAGAACAATCAAAGCCCCTGAAACACCTTTCAAGAAACCTCGAAAAGCAGCCACCTCTCAAAGAAAAGATAAACAAAAAAAGTCTCCATCCCAAAAAAAGAATAAAACAACAAAATAAAGTATCAATCACAACAATAAAAGTAGCAAAAAACATTAAAAAGAAAATAACAAATAGGCATGAACATTGCTTTAAAAACAACAAGCAATTATAATACGTAAACATTCCCTAAACCTGAAACCCTGCACATTCAAACTCGTGAACCCTAAACCCAAAACCTTGAACCCCAAATCCAAAACCCTAAAAACTGAACCCCAAACCCTAAACCCTAAACCCCAAACCCTGAACCCTAAAACCCTACAAGCCTGAACCCTAAAACCCTAAACCCCTAACCCTAAAACCCTAAAACCCTAAAACCCTAAAACCCTAAAACCCTATAACCCTAAACCCTAAACCCTAAACCCTAAACCCTAAACCCTAAACCCTAAACCCTGAGGCCACGGCTTGGTGGAGATGCCTTTGCGGCTCTCGGCTTCACGGTTCATGCGGAGGATCAGCTCCTTTTGGCTCAGGAGGGCTGGTTTAGGGTTTAGGGTTTAGGGTTTAGGGTTTAGGGTTTAGGGTTTAGGGTTTAGGGTTTAGGGTGTAGGGTGTAGGGTTTAGGGTTTAGGGTTTAGGGTTTAGGGTTTGGGGTTTAGGGTTTAGGGTTTAGGGTTTAGGGTTTAGGGTTTAGGGTTTAGGGCACCCTGAACCTCTCCAGATTTGAGGGTTTCGCTCCACCGAGTCCTCCCTAAACCCGAAACCCTAAACCCTAAACCCTGTAAGAAAAAGACTCCTAGGTTGGCGCTCGACCCTGAGCTCTGAGTTTAGGGCCAGGCTCTAAGGCTTGGATCAAGGGTTTGGAGTTTAAGGTTTAGGGTTAGAGGTTAGGATTTTGGGTTTACAATTTGGAGTTAGGATCCTGAACCCTAACCCTAACCCTAAACCCTAAACCCTAAACCCTAAACCCTAAACCCTAAACCCTAAACCCTAAACCCTAAGCCCACACGACTTCTGTGTGCACACACCCCGTCCTGGCGTCGTTCCTTGATTCCGTCGTTGACGCCGGCCTGGCCCCGCGCCGGAGGAAGGAGGAAACTCAAGGCAGGGCCACACCCAACTCCTACCCTGCAAAGATCCCCTTTAAGTTAAGCGTTTAAGGCTTTTAGGGTTTAGGGTTTAGGATTTAGGGTTAAGGGTTTAGGGTTTCGGCCAACAAGCCCTTCCCCGCAGTACTAGGTCTATGTTTAGGGTGAGAGGGGGTTCGGCTTTTGGGACGAAGCCGTCTTTAAAGATTGGAACCGTGTAGCTTATCACATACTCAAAGCCTGCTTTCGGCCGTCTATGTTAGCAGGTCAATATTGGGGGAAGGGGCTAGTTGGCCTAAACCCTAAACCCTAAACCCTAAACCCTAATACAACGACAACATCATCGGGGCATTTTTTGGGGGGCGGTTGCCTTCATGCCCGGGGGCAAAAAGTGGCAAGCCCTAAACAGCAAACAGCTTAGGGCTTCAGGGCTTGGGTGTTGTACAACTTTCTTCCTAAACCCTAAACCCTAAACCCTAAACCCTAAACCCTAAACCCTAAACCCTAAACCCTAAACCCTACAAACCCTCAACCCTCAACCCTCAACCCCAAACCCTAAGCCCTAAACCCTAAACCCTAAACCCTAAACCCTACAAAACCCTAACCCCCTACACCCTAACTCGGTATTTTTTTTCCTTACGGCCTCCCCAAAACGCGCGCTTCCCAGGGCGCCTCAACCATGCCATCGGCCTCCTTGTCTCCTTCCCTGCTGAGAAGGTTGGCTCAGGAGCTGTTTGGGGTTCAGGGCTTGGGCTTCAAGCCTAAACCCCAAACCCCAAACCCTTAACCCTAAACCCTAAGCTCGAGCTGAACTGCCTCGAAATCCCCAAAAAATCAGGGGCCTTAGAAGGTTTCCTTCACTCGGGGGTTCGGGGCTCGGGGCTCGGCAAGCAAACTCCACCCAAACCTAAGAAGATGGGGTTGGTTTAGGGCTAGGGTGTTGGGTTTTGGGTTTAGGGTTTGGGGTTTAGGGTTTAAGGTTTGGGTTTAGGGTTTAGGTTTTAAGGTTTAGGGTTTAGGGTTTAAGGTTTAGGGTTTAGGCTTTAGGGGTTTGGATAAAAACTTCTGGCCTCTGTTCAAGAGGCCCAAAAACTATACGACAAAGATCTCATGAGAGGTTCGTAGCGCCAAGGCGACCTTTCAGCTAACATAACCCCACCACTCCTAAACCCTAAAGCCCCCAAAAACAACCTGAAACCCGAAAACCCAAACCCTAAACCAACCAAACCCAAAAACCCCAAAACCCAAAAACCCTAAAACCCAAAACCCTAAAACCCAAACACCCTAAACCCTAAAAACCCCAAAACCCGAAAACCCTAAAACCCTAAACCCTAAAACCCAAAAAGCCTAAAAACCCAAAACCAAAAAAAAAACTAAACCCAAAAACCCCAAAACCCAAAAAACCCAAAACCCAAAAACCCAAAAACCCCAAAACCCAAAAACCCAAAAACCCCAAAACCCCAAAACCCGAAAACCCTGAAACCCAAAAACCCTAAACCCAAAAACCCTAAAACCCTACAACCCTAAAACCCTAAAACTCAAAAACCCCAAAACCCCAAAACCCAAAAACCCTAGAATCCCTAAAATCCCTAAACTCCCTAAAATCCCTAAACCCTACAACCCCAAAACCCAAAACCCCTAAAACCCAAAGCAACCTAAAACCCCAAACCCTAAACCCAAACAGGGTGCAGGAGAGGCTGAACGAGTTCGGGCCTCAAGGGAGCCAGAGCTGAACCCCGGAGAGCGAAATATTCCGGATCAGTGTGTCCCCCTTTAGGGTGTAGGGTTTAGGGTGGTTTAGGGTTTAGGGTTTAGGGTTTAGGGTTTAGGGTTTAGGGCTTAGGGCTTAGGGCTTAGGGCTTAGGGCTTAGGGCTTAGGGCTTAGGGCTTAGGGCTTAGGGCTTAGGGCTTAGGGCTTAGGGTTCGGGAAGGAAAGAAGGACTTCGAGTAGGCCACCTAGAAGAGGGCCGCATTTCGAGCAACCCCCAATGGTACTACGCCCCAAACCCTAAACCCTAAACCCTAAACCCTAAACCCTAAACCCTAAACCCTGAACAACAAACCCTAAGCCCCCCAAAAACCCTTGAGGCATCAGCGCGGAGCAACTCGGGGCGGGGCTCTTCTGTTGGCTTGTTGTCTCCTGCGGTGGTCCTGGGCCGGCGGCAACATGCCAAGACATGGCAACACCGAAGCCTAAACTGCCCCCGACAAAAGGGCCCTTAATGATTAGACTAGGGCCTTGGAGGTGATTAAAATGTACTTATAACGGGACCATAAGGGAAGACTATTTATAAATATTCCGACCCCTACATTAGATGGTGGTTTCCCAAATCGGGGGGACCTTACTGGGGTCCATATTACAAGGGAGAGCCCCCCAAATCCTAAACCCTAAACCCTAAACCCCAGAAGCCTGGAGAGGGGGGGGGGGGGCAGTGGCGGCTTGGGATCTGGGTTGAGGGTTTAGGGCTTAGGGAACTAGGCCTTGATGATGCAAGGAGTTGATGCTTTAGGCTAAAGTTGGAGTCCTGGAGGTCTCAGAGAGGCGGGCCTAAACCCTAAACCCTAAACCCTAAACCCTAAACCCTAAACCCTAAACCCTAAAGGGTTTCCGGGTCAGCGCCCTAGCGTCTCAAAGCTTAGGGTTCAGGGCCCAGGGGTTAGGGCTCAAGGCCTGGGCATGCCTATGCCCAATAAGGAGTCGAAGGTGTATGGTATAGCCAGGTCAAGTGAGAGAGCTTGAGGCGGTTGCTTTAAGGCTGGCCCTGGGGCATGGGTCTACGGCTTATGGATTGAGTGAACTTTATATATTGTCTTAATGCTATGGGATTCTTTGGGCGGGTGGGTAGTTTCCTGTCACTTGAAAGGCTGCTTGACTAGTGAAAGCTAGAACACGAGATGCTGAACCCCCTAAACCCTAACACCCCTAAAACCTCTAAAGGCCCTAAACCTCCTAAAACCCCTAAAGCCCCCAAAACCCCTAAACCCCAAAAACCCCTGAACCCCAAAACCCCTAAGCCCCGAAACCTAAACCCCAAGACCTAAACCCCAAACGCTAAACCCTAAACCCTAAAACCCAAAACCCTCGACCCTAAACCCTCAACCCTAAACCCTAAACCCTAATCCCGCGCAGCTGCAGCTTGGGTCAGGACTGGCCGAACTTTCCGGCGATCCAGGGATGAGCCATCACCTTGCAACAAGCCAAGGGTTTAGGGTTTAAGGTTTAGGGTTAAGGGTTTAGGGTTTAGGGTTTAGGGTTTAGGGTTTAGGGTTTGGGGTTAGAGCGGGCCATGCAAGCCATGGGCCTCAGCCGAGCTCATCCGAGACTTCTCGCCCTTGTCCAACATCTTTCGAATGTACTCCTGCGCGTGGCTACTCTTTGTGATGTGTAAACTCCAAACCCTTGAGACCTGCAACCCCAAACCCTAAACCCTAAACCCTAAACCCTAAACCCTCAACCCTAAACCCTAAACCCTAAACCCTTAACCCTAACCCTAAACCCAAAAAAAGCCACAAAGGGGTCCAAAGCTCTGAATGCCTGAGCCAACCCATGCAATCCTTGGGCGCGTGTATGGTTCTATCTGCCAGGACCTGCATGCGCCTAACGATAAGCTCCAAACAAACGCTGGGTTTAGGGTTTAGGGTTTAGGGTTTAGGGTTTAGGGTTTAGGGTTTAGGGTTTAGGGTTTAGGGTTTGGGGTTTGGGGTTTTTGGGGTTTCTGGGGTTTAGGGTTCAGGGTTTAGGGTTTAGGGGATCTTGGAGGCTGTCCAACACTGAGATTCAGAGAGCTGTTCTCTATTCCTCATGCAACTTCCAAACCAACCTCGCTGTAAACCTGCACTCGAGCTAGCTGCAAGCCCTACCCCAAACCCTAAAACCTGACCCCCCGCCCCAAAACCAAGCCTGAAGCCTAAAATCCTCCGGGGCTCTCCTCGCAGACTGGGTGGACCCGCTTCGGGATGCGGACTTCCTTGTTCCTGCACGCGTCCCCCGACGAGAAAAACGGGTCGAGAGATTTTGTGGTGCTACCTCCACTCGCCTTGGACCCATGTGCAAAACGCAGTGAATTTTCCTTTGGGTCTTCTATAATCGACATGGGTATTAAATAGGGAACCCCCCCACTATACCCCAAAAGTAGAAAAGCCCTTAGAATCGGAACCCCCACAACAAACAGGCGCCCCCTAACTTCGGAAACCCCCATATTCCAAAAGCACTCACCATGAAACCCAAAGCCCCTGAAGTCCAAACCCCGGCACTTCCTCACGACATCCGGGGCCTATCTTCCAACTTAACCTGTATCCTGAGCTTCCCCAACCCTGAACCCTGAACCCTAAACCCCAAACCCTAAACCCCAAACCCTAAACCCCAAACCCTACACCCCAAACCCTGAACCCTACACCAGGGTTTCTTCCTAGCCCCTCCACCAAGGAGCCCTGTAACCCTGAAGCCCGGCCCGCCGGCTGACCCATAAAAGCCCTCTCAAAAAGAGTCTTCGATAAGGTCCTCTTAACCCCAACATAGTTTGTTTTTAAAGCGCCTACCTGATTGCAAAAGAAAAAAAGCCTTCAAGGGTTCACGGGCTCCACAACCACAGGGGGAGGGGGGGAGGGTGTCACAATTGAGGTGTTGGCATTCTTTAGAACCCCAAAAACCCCACGCCACAAACCCCAAGATTCCGGTTCAGGGGCTGAAGGGTGTCCCCTAAACCCTAAACCCTAAACCCCAAACCCTAAACCCCAAACCCTAAACCCCAAACAATCAGAGTTGAGAGTTCGTGGCCGACATGGACGTGAAGAACAGCGGGGAGCCTGACATCGTTCTCATCCCTGAATGGAAAGCGGCCTCGGGGCACTCTGGGGGGTTGAGTACGTTTAGGGTTTAGGGTTTAGGGTTTAGGGTTTAGGGTTTAAGGGTTTAAGGGCCGGGGTTTGGGGTTTGGGGTTTGGAGTTTTGGATGTAGGAGTTTAGGGTAGGGTCCAGGGTTTATGGTTAAGGGCTTCTCTTCCTCTTACTTGTTGCCGTAGTATGAAAATTCGATTGTCTTTTCAAATGAGAAACCATGAAAAGCATGATTGTTCTTCTTTGTACTCACAGTAGAAGTATTCGTCGCGATACGACTATTGGTCTTATCGTTTGTAGTGCCTTGCTTGTTTTCATTGCCATTACCAACCTTGCACATCTTACTCACCAACAAAATGGCGATGCCGGCGAGCTGTTCGGAAGGCTCAGACACATGTGGCATTTACTGAATTCCATCCTTGGTCCACCTTTTCATCCGCTGCGGCGCAAGACGTATTCGGAGCTTGGGCTGCACCCTCAACGTAAAATCCCCGAACAAAGCGGGGAGCCACAAGCAACACCTGCCTGACCGTCAGGCCGAAACCCTCAGTTAACTCCGGGGGGTTTAGGGTTTGGGGCTTGGGGTGTAGGGTTTAGGGTTTTGGGGTGGATGGAGAAGGTTTTGGGCTTTGGGCTTAGGGATTTGGTTTAGGGTTCAGTGTGTTGGGTTTGGGGCTTCAGGGAGCTCTGCAGCAAAGCCGCCGCTGACGAGGCCATACATGATGACGCCCATCGCCCACACATCAACCTGGTCAGGGCAAGTAGTACAGGAGCCAGTTACATTAGAATGTTACGAAAGGTTTCGGTTGTAGGTTATAATGTATTAATCATAGTAATCATTGTGTCTACAGTACTAGGTTTGGGGCTAGGCTGGGAGAAATGCACAAGCAGAGAACAAAGCCTGCTCTGGTGGGAGACGCCTTTCCACAAGTCCACAAACCACTTATTAGAACTTTGTCAAAACCCTAAACCCGAAGCCCTAAACCCTGAACCCTAAACCCTAAACTTTAAACCCTCAACCCTAAACCCTAAACCCTAAACCCTAAACCCTAAACCTAAACCGGAACCCCAGCGTGAGCTGCGTCAACCCAAAACACTCCACCCGGCCTTCTGACTGTAGTCACGGTCGAAGAACTCCGGAGGCCAAAAGATCTTTGTCCCGACCTGCGAAGAAATCCAAGAGGCTTGCGGGTTTAGGGTTTAGGGTTTAGGGTTTAGGGTTTCGGGTTTAGGGCTTAGGGCTTAGGGCTCGGGGCTTAGGGGCAGGGTTGCGGGGCTTCATGGTTTGAGGGCTTCGAGGCTCAGGGTTTAGCTGGTGGGGGTTCTCCAAACCGCACAGAGTTTTCGGGTGTAGGGATCTCCCTCAAAGCAAGACCCTACAGCACTTGGGCATCTCTCTCAAAGGGAGACGCGTAATCCTTACACCCAAACGACAGGATGTCATGTCAGAAAAAGAACAGAGGTCCCTGATCCCTCAATCAAAACTCAATCAAAACCCTAGATGCCCCCTAACAACAAGGCGAGCCCCACCTAAACTTCCCTAAACCCGTAAACCCTAAGAACCCTCTTCAAAACCGTGAGAACCCTTAAAGGCGGTCGAACCGACTCCCGCAAACACGATAAAACTCCGCAACCCTGAGGGCCCAGTCCCAAAGCCTACACCCCGGACAGTTTAGGGTTTAGGGTTTAGGGTTTAGGGTTTAGGGTTTAGGGTTTAGGGTTTAGGGTTTAGGGTTTAGGGTTTAGGGTTTAGGGTTTAGGGTTTAGGGTTTAGGGTTTAGACAGGGTAACCATACACTTCGACCATCCCCCACCTGTCTCTTAGAACCAGCTTTTTGGATGATTCAGCAGCAGGGCCGGTCAGGGCTTTGTCGCAACTGGTACCCTTTCTGCGTTTGCGTGTTGATGTTAGATCCCAAAAAACAAAAAACTGAACCTAATACTCCAAAAAAAAGTTGAAATACCCCAAGCCTAACACCCCCAAAGCGCAATCCCCAAAAACCCCTAAGCTCTAAAGCCCTGACCCACAAAGCACCAAAGCCGTAAACCCTAAACCCTAAAGCCCCCTAAAACCCCTAAGCCCCAACCCCCCTCAAGCTTAAATTGGCCCTCAACCCTGAACCCTAAAACCCTCAACACTGCCCGAGGCCCCCAGCCCCCGAGGAAAGGCGATCAGACTGCTTGCAGGTGCAGGCCTTTTACGGGGGCACAGGGCTTTGAGGTCTCAGGGGGGTTTAGGGTTTTAGGGCTTAGGAGGATTTAGGGTTTAGGGTTTAGGGTTCAGGGTTCAGGGTTCAGGGTTTAGGGTTTAGGGTTTAGGGTTTAGGGTTTAGGGTTTAGGGTTTAGGGTTTAGGGTTTAGGGTTTAGGGTTTAGGGTTTAGGGTGGATCTTGCCCTAGTCCCTAGACCTCAAACAGAAAGCGGGCAGATGGGCCTCACAAAGTCAGATCGCTTGGGCTCTCAGTGGGGTGGATTGGGAGGAGCCCTCCCTAAACCCTAAACCCTAAACCCTAAACCCTAAACCTTAATTTTAAACCCCTAAACCCCCTAAAAACTCCTCCAAATGAAAAGCCTTAGGCATGGTCTTAGTGCCCAGCTTGTCGAGTTCAGAGATTCGTGAAAAGTGTCTTGGCTTTTGTGTTTGGGGCTTAGGGCTTAGGGTTTAGGGTTTAGGGTTTAGGGTTTAGGGTTTAGGGTTCAGGCTTTCAGGTTTGAGGCGTGCATCAGCGCACGTGCACAGTGACTCTGCCTTTAGATTGAGGGGCGCGCTCACTTTCGCCTGTCGCCCTCTCGCCATCACTGCAATACTAATCCCACCTCCAATCCCCTGCCCTGGCCACGTGATTAACGCTAGTCGACAGGTGTCGACTATAGACCCTAAACCCTAAACCCCCAAAATCTCGAAGGATACGTGCTCCGCGTTGAGGGCCCGGCCGTGCCGAAGTCTGTGAGCACAATCTTGCACTGGCCGTCGGTCATGTTCTGGCAGGGCCGGGGACTTGATTTTCGTTCCGGCATTTTGGGGTTAAGGGCTTAGGGTTCAGGAACCCTACCCCTAAACCCTACACCCTACACCCTACACCCTACACCCTAAACCCTAAACCCTAAACCCTAAACCCTAAACCCTAAACCCTAAACCCTCAACCCTAAACCCGAAACCCTAAACCTAAACCCAAATTCTGAAGCCCTAAACCATAAAGCAAGGTCACAGCCTCGACGCCTCAACAATACCGAAGCCTGGGTGTCCAACAGGCCCCGTTCCGCTGATGAGAGTTGGGGGTTTAGGGTTTAGGGTTTAGGGTTTAGGGTTTAGGGTTTAGGGTTTAGGGTTTAGGGTTTAGGGGTGAAGGGTTAAGGGTTCAAGCGTTTTGGGTTTCAGGGTTCTAGGGTTTTAGGGTTTCAGGGTTTCAGGCTTCGGGTTTTCAGGGTTTAGGGCCGATCACCTGAAAGCTTTTTGGACAAGGAACCCTAGATACACTCACCAGTAACAGTAATATAAGAACTGCTTCAATCAATACTATACATACATACATACATACATACATACATACATACATACATACATACATACATACATACATACATACATACATACATACATACATACATACATACATACATACATACATACATACATACGTACATACATACATACATATTTTTTGCTTTATTTATGGCTGGCTTCTTGGGGATTGGAGTTTAGGGTTTAGGCACATTTAGGGTTCAGGGTTCGGGTTTAGGGTTTTAGGGTTTTAGGGTTTAGGGCTTGGGTCTTTGTAGGTGGGGGCGCCTAAGCGCTTGAACTTTAGTTTCAGCAAAGGGTGCAGGAACTAAGGCTGGACCTTTGGGAGGGGGGGGCCTTTTCGTGTGTCATGTGGGTTTAGGGTTTAGGGGTATCTTGACTCATCACAAGATCCCGCCAAAATCACACTAAACCCTAAACCCTAAACCCTGAATCCTCCGAAGAAATAAATTTTCCCGGGGGCCCCCAGGGTGGAAGCCTTTCTATCCATGAGGTAGTTGTCCCCCTTGACGTCCCGATGAACCACGTTCCTGTAGGGCAGAGGCTGCTCGGGAACCCCCGAAATCTTCTAGGATCGGAGTAAGTAGGTTGTTTCCTAAACCCTAATCCCTAAACCCTAAACCCTAAACCCTAAACCCTAAGCCCGGACCCTGAACCCTGAACCCTAAACCGCACATGGGACGGCAAGTGTAAAGCTTCAAGAGATTGGGCCCTAACCGGTTGGTGGCCTTGGGTTTGGGGACTGCTTTCGTGGGTGTTTAGAGAGCCCTTTGAAAGAAAAACCCTTAGTAGGGAGGCATCAAGCCCTGCAGGGGGTCTACTAGATCTCCTCCTGCTATGAAGTTACCCCATCACCTGCGAGAAGGGACCTCTACGAAGGGCTGATAAGACTTGTGGGCGGGTTTAGGGTTTAGGGTTTGGGGTTTAGGGTTTAGGGTTTAGGGTTGGGGCGACGGAGGAGGAGGATCCCCTTCATCGGGCGAACTAAACGGCTGACGGGCCGACAAGACCAGGATCTCTAGGGTTTAGGGTTTAGGGTTTAGGGTTTAGGGTTTCGGGTCTAGGGTTCAAGGTTTAGGGTTGAGGGTTTAGGGTTTTGGGGTTGAGGCCTGTTGTGCAAGTAGTGAATCGACGACGCCATCTGGTACCTGATTCCGGGCTTCGGGGGAGCAGGGTTCAGGTTAAGGGTTTAGGGTCTAGGGTTTATTGAAATTATTCAGGGTTCAGGTCCGGGGAAAGTTTCGAGGAAAGTTTCAAGGAGTTTCGAGGAGTTTCGATTTTCAGAAACTTGAATAATTTCAAGGTACAGGGGCTTGAGGGTTTAGGGTTTACGGTTTAGGGTTTGGGTTTTGGGGTTTACGGTTTAGGGTTTAGGGCTTAGGGAAGAAGGCTCTCAGAACCGTGCCTGCTCCAAGCATCTTGCGTTACATGCAAACAGGCTTCGGGAGTGAACCCTGAACCCTGAACCCTGAACCCTGAACCCTGAACCCTGAACCCTAAACCCTAAACCCTAAACCCTAAACCCAAAGCCCTGAACCCTGAACCCTGAACCCTGAACCCTGAACCCTGCATGCATCTGGGCTCAAAGTTGAAGCGCGCACGCCACGTGCACCACGTCCAGGCAGTTGATCTGCCCGCGCTCCTGGCGAGATTTGGGATTTAGGGTTTCGGAATTTACAGTAAACTCCAGAAAGTTGGAACATGGTTTAAGGATGATTAGAGCTGGGATTCCCTTTAGTATACCGTTTGGGGTATGGGGATAAGGATGTTCCAACTTGTTGGTGTTTACTGTAGGGGGTTTCAGGGAACCCTGAACTCCAAAACCTAAACCCTGAGGCTTCGTAGGATCTCGGCCCATGGGCCAGTAGGAACTAGAGGCTGAAGGGTGGTAACACGCCCAAACTGGAAAACCCTCAACCCCCCCGAAACCCCAAACCCCAAACCCTAAACCCTGAACTCTAAATCCTGAACCCTAAATCCTGAACCCCAAACCCCAAACCCTAAACCCTGAACCCTAAAGGGTTTAAGGGTTCAGGGTTTCGGGTTTAGGGATTATAGTCTAGGGTTTAGGGTTTAGGGGTTCAGGGTTTAGGGATTAGGATTTATTCTAGGGATTAGGGTTTAGGGGTTCAGGGTTTAGGGTTTAGGGTTTATAGCTTAGGGCTTAAGCCCGTGTAGACCCGAAGGTCAGGGTTAGGGACAGGATCTGGGCTTTGGGGCCTCGGGCCAAATTGAAAGCTCCAAAGCAGCTCTAGGCCCGAATCCCCCAAAACCTCAAAAACACTATACCCTAAACGCCCCCTAAACACCCGAAACCCTAAACCCTAAACACTATACCCTAAACGCCCTAAACCCTAAACCCCTAAACCCCTAAACCCCTAAACGCCCCAAACTCCCAAACTCGAGTGCCGTCCTTGAGATGCCGTTGCAACCCCTCGACCAGGTCCCCTCCGTCCAGCTTGTCCATGACGATGCAGACGAAGCACCTGCACCAGGGTGTGGGGGTCAGGGGCTTAGGGTTTAGACCTTAGGGCTTAAGGTTTGGGGTTCAGGGCCTTAGGGCTTCAGGGTCGATCATGCTACAGATACCTTCTGTGACTCACATTCTTCATGGCAAAGTCCACCATAAGCGACCATGCTTTAGAACAGCTATTAGACCAAGAGTGTTCATGCCCCCCCTCCCCCAACCTCCGCTCCTCCGCCACCGCCACGCCCCATTGAATGCCGGTAGTCTTGGGTCTTTCGGACTGCAAGTTGGGCGCAACTTCGGTTGTGGGGGTTCAGTTTAGGGATTAGGGTTTAGGGTTTAGGGTTTCGGGTTTCGGGGTTTAGGGTTTAGGGTTTAGGGTTTAGGCTTTAGGGTTTAGGTTTTCCGCTCGCCTCTCGTAGTAAACGCCGTGGAACTTCACGATGTTGGGGTGGTCCTCGGCGCCGGCACTTGGAGGTTCAGAGTACTTAGTACCCGAACTATAAGCGTAGCTATAGCCCACTAAGAAGCACCTTAAGTACCCTAAGAGGGTTATTGTTGGGTCATAAGTACAGTTATAGTTGGCTCACTAAGTACCATGAACCTCCAAGTACCCCCCACAAGTAGCCCTGAAAAGATGTTCGAAGGCGCGCCTACAAAACGGTCCTTATTCTTTTGGGGGGGAATGTCTGGCATTGGGGTTTAGGGTTTGGGGTTTGGGGTTTAGGGTTTAGGGTTTAGGGTTGAGGGTTTAGGGTTTAGGGTTTAGGTCTTAAAACTTAAGGTTTAGAGTTTAGGGTTTAAAGTTTAGGGAGGGTTCAGACCTTAGTTCTCCGAGACGCAACTTGGTAACCCAGGGCCCCGGGCCATGCTTGCCAACATGTCAGCCTCCTTCTTGATGGCCTCCACGGGCGTTTCCACCTCGCGCTGCTTTCTTGCGTGCTTCGGACGCTAAACCCTAAACCCTAAACCATAAACCCTAAACCCTAAACCCTAAACCCTAAGCCGGTGGTTTTCTTAGGGTAGCTGCATGATCCCGAGTATGGGCCCCTGAAAGGGGACCCCCTATATACCCATTCTATACCCTGTACAACCCAAGGCCCGTACATCAGAACCCTCGAAGGGCGGTAAGGGCCCATACTCAGGGCCCATGAAAGGAACTACCCTTTAAAATTGTTCGGGCTTAGGGCTTAAGGGTTTAGGGTTCAGGGTTTAGGGGTGTAGGGGTTTAGGGGTTTAGGGTTCTTAGGAGTTCGAAGTCTCACCTCTAGGCTACTGGAGCCCGCAATACGAAGGTCCAACCCTTGGGTTGAGCAAACCCTCAGCCCTAAGCCCCCTAGACCCGCAGCTCGAAGCCCTGAAGGTCTAAAGGTCTTGGGGCTCCAGGACGACAATCTGGGCCGCGAGGGCTACTCCTAGGCCTAAACCCCAGACTCCGTCTGGGCGTCACAGCTCCTAGGAGACCATGAGAGGGGCCTCAGAAGCAAAATAGCACGTATGAGAGAAATCCCGTGCTTCACGAATATCGTCCTCCACAGCAGGTACCCTAAGACCCTAAACCCTAAACCCTAAACCCCTGAACCTTAACCCCTCTGAAGAGCGAGGACCCCTTCCCTTGGCGTCCTTGTCCACCATCTTCACCTTGCCGTAGGGTTTGGGGTTTGGGGTTTAGGGTTTAGGGTTTAGGGTTTAGGGCTTAGGGCTTAGGAGGGTTAAGGCTTCGGGGTGTGGTGTTTTTGGGCTTGCTAATTTTTTTATGCCTATGTCTTGTTTAGTTTTTATGGCTTTGAGCGTGGTGTCTATAGTGTTTAAGGTTTAGGGTTTGGGGCATGTAGCTAACCCTGAGCCCCAGTCGGGGGAACTCCAAGCTGAGCTCTTCGGGGGAACGTACTGAATTGCCCACCCTCAACCCTAAACCCTAAACCCTAAACCCTAAACCCTAAACCCTCAAACCTAAGCCCTAAACCCCAAACCCTAAAACCTAAATCGTGACTTCCTGTGTTTCAAAGTCAGGGGCTTGCTGCCACCACGTCGCAGCAAACTCCTGGCCAGTGGCCCTCTTCTTGCACACCTGATGCTTTGTCAGGGTTTGGGGTTTAGGGTTTAGGGTTTAGGGTTCAGGATTTAGGGTTTAGGGTTTAGGGTTGCCGAGCGCTTCCATAGCAGCACTTAGAAAGGCCTAAGGTTTGAGTTAAATGTGACTACCCAGGAAAATACTGGCCGTCCCCATAGGATTTTCACTCCAGCTTCCACAAAACGAAGGCCCACAACCTGAGCCCCTTAACTGCCCGAAGCCAAGAACGCGAAAACTTCATGAGCAATTCTCAGGATCAGAGCCCCCTGCATGGTCTTCACACCAGAAGCGCTACGCCCTGTAGACCGCTTAGGAACGCAAAGCCACGAATCCATCCATCAACGACGAGATGTATCAGTTCGTCAGCTACATCGCGACATGTGAACGAGCCCCACCGCAAGCGTCCCAAAAGGCGGTCGGCCTAAACACGAAATCCGAAAGCCTAGAACCTAGAAGTGAGAACATCCCCCCTGCCGAAGCATGGGGGGAATAGCAATACCACCAGTCACCCCATTAGAAGATTTAGAAGATTATATTCTGATTGCAGCCGCTAACCCCAAACCTAGTAAAATCTGTGAGGGAACCTTTGCCCACTTTGGGATGATGAGAATATGGATGGGGTAATTGGTTATTCCTTTCCTGGCAGTGGGGCAGTAGTGGTGATATTTCCGGGTAAATGTAGTAGGGAGTATGGGAATAGTCCTCTTATATGGATGAGGGAATTGGCGATTCCTTTACTGGTCTTGGTAATGGGGAAGTAGTGGTGAGATAGCTGGTGAGATGTAGGGGGAGTATAGGAATAATCTTGTTTTGGGTGACCTTTGGGTATTCTCACCCAGAATGGGCGAGGGTTCCGCGAACTTAGTGTTGGGGGGGGGGGGGGGGGGGGTAGGATCCCCCTGAAGAGAGCCGACCTAAGCCTACTTGGTACTTAGTAACCCAATTATCGTACTTACCATCAGGGTACCTTTTAGGGGCCTTATAAGATGTGTTATAACTACACTTACAATCGGGTTATAAGTACCCCTAAACCCTAAACCCAAAAACCCTGAACCCTAAGCCCAAAACCCTAAAATAATTGAGTTCTAAGTACCCCGTGCCTCCAAGTAACCCTGCCCGAGACTCCCCCAAGGCGCGCGCGGAGACGACGCCGAAAGCTCCCTCGCCCAGCGTTTGTCCAACCTGGGGGCTGTACTTATAACGGGTTTAGGGTTTAGGATGTAGGGTTTAGGGTTTAGGGTTTCGGGTTTAGGGTTTAGCATACCAGCTAGTAGGATTTTCACGCACTCGACATGAAGATTCCGCCCCCTTGTGCTAGAGAAATCTGTGGGCCCCCGACGGCATACTCGTCCAACAAGCGGAGCTCTGCATTCGACTTGTCGTTGCCCTCGAAGAAGAATTTAGGGTTTATATAGGGTTTTATTACGTCAGCCATGCGCCACCAACTGTACAACTTAGGAACTTGAACTCTTTTGCGTCGCGCGTCGGCGCAGTCTGTGCCTATATAGGGGTTGAGGGTTGGGGGTTTAGGGTTTAGGGTTAAGGGTTAAGGTTTAAAGAGTAGGGTGATGGGTGAAGGGTTTGGCCTCGGATACCACAACACTCCTGTGGATGTCTTGTTGGCATGGTTCTTCGAGAAAAGTCCAACAATGGACAACGACACACGAATGCCACTCTTAGCAACAAAAGCCTCACTTCCCTTTAAACACCCCAAATTCCTTTACAGGCCAAGGCTTCTCAGACGTACTGCACCCATCACACTGCTCGGTCGTCCCACCGACTTCTCGATTCGGTTCTGGGCTTTCTGGAAAATCGGCGTGACAAACGCCATCACCCCCAAAAAACCTTCAAAGCGGCTGAAAACTTACACCCGGGCATCCGCCTGAGACTTCGGGGCGTCGCCGCCCGTAGCCGCCGACCTCTCATGCACGTCTTCTCAAAGGGGGCGCAACCGTAACATCCGGAATTCAGTTTTGAAGGTTCAAGAACCCAGAATTCCTCGCCCCATGATCTGACCCGACACCAAGAACACGTGCTTGTAACAGGCTCCTCTGGAAGTCCCCTAAACTCAACCCTAAACCGCCAAAAAATCGCCTTCTTCGGCAAGTTCGCGGCTTAGTTTAGGGCTTGGGGGATCGGACTGGGTTGTTGTCCGAGCCCGCGGCGAAGCACAGCCCATGCCACAAATGTACCTGGCTTACTTGGAGGTTCATGGTGCTTGGAAACCCAAATATAATTGCACTTATAACCCAAAATTATAACCCCATTAAGGTACTTAAGGGGCTTCTGAATGGGTTATAACTACACTTATAAGTGGGTCATAAGTGCCCTGAACCTCCAAGTAGGGCTTGGGGTATAGGCTTTTGGGCAAACTTCAGATGAAGAAAGCGGAGTCCTCATTTGGAGCCGGTGAAGCTTACGTTGAAACTATTTGGACGTGTGCTTTGGAAGAAGCGAACTACTGAGACGGAATCTTATCCAAATAGAAGACCAATAAGTAGCAAAATCGAAACGCATCCAACAATGTAGAACCAGACACCCTAAACCCTAAACCCTAAACCCTAAACTTGCGCAACAGGATGAGGGACGTGACCAGACTGGCAGGTGGAACGGCGCACCCAGTGCCATCTCATTTATTCTGGGACTGCGTTTCGGAGTTGAAGGCTGACGTTTTTAGGGTTCAGGTTTTAGGGTTCAGGGTTCAGGGCTTAGGGTTTAGGGTTTAGGTTTTAGGGTTTAGGGTTTAGGGTTTAGGGTTTAGGGTTTAGGGTTTAGGGTTTAGGGTTTAGGGTTTAGGGTTCGGCTTTGTGGGTTGAGGGTTGAAGGTTGAGGATAAGATGTTGAGGGCTGTGTTCTTATTCGGTATTGGAGCTGACGACTGAAACTAAATATCTGAGAGTTGCATAACTGGGCCTTTGTCTGACGCCAGACTCACCTCCTAAACCCTAAACCCTAAACCCTAAACCCTGAACCCTGAACCCTAAATCCTAAACCCTAAACCCTTCTCCCTTCACCCAATCCTATACCCTAACCCTAAGCCCTATACCCTAACCCTAAGCCCTAAACCCTAAACACACCTTCAGGCAATTGGAGGTAACTTGCATGGCTCAAACATGCACGGTGCACCGGATCGTGATGAAGTTCTGTCCTGCGCCACAAGGTAAACCGGTATTTTGCTGCTCCAATGCCCCATAGGCCCCTAAACGCCGAAGCCATGACATCTTGAGAACTTGATGGTTCAGGGTTTAGGGTTTAGGGTTAGGGTTTGGGTTTAGGATTTAGGGTTAGGGTTAGGGTTAGGGTTCGCGTTAGGGTTAGGGTTAGGGGTTTAGGGCTTCGGGATTGCATCTGACCCGGCAGGGGCATTGAACCCCCTGGCCAGGATGGTCCATACAGGTGATCTTAGTTGGGCAGCCCAAACCCCCCTAAACCCTAAAACCCTAAACCTTGAACCTTAAACCCTAAACCCTAAACTGTTGGCCCCCTAAACCCTAGGCACCGATTTGGAAACTTTGTAGCCAGCAACTCTGACAAGCCAAACATAGTCGGTGTCCTGAACGTGCGGCGAGAACGTCCGCTGCGGTTGTGCAAGGACTCGTATTATGCAACAACTGAGCCACGTGGCGATGCCGCTGCACAATACAAGCCCTAAACCCTAAACCCTAAACCCTAAACCCTAACTATGAAAAAGCAACGGGTCGGCCTTGCCAAGGTTTAGTAGGCTTCGAAAAGGCATAGCACGCTGGTCCCCTGCGCACGACCCCCGCAACTTCATCAACGTCTGCTAGCATGAGCATCTCTCCAGTAAGGCGACGAACTCTGACCTCGAAGATGCTACTTTCATTGGGGCGCTTTTTGCGCAACGGAAAAACATGCAATAAGAGAAGGTTGCGGCAATCATAATTTTACTGAAGTACCACGTCAGCGTTCAACTGCGCGCTGTTACTGGCGTCACGACACTCCGTGTTCGAGCTGGGGGACAAAAAATCACAACTACGCAGGCTGCGCTGGATCATCTATCTGTTCTACGAAGCACTGTCACTGTAACAACATCAAATATGACAGAAAGAGTTGGCTCAGTCAGTTCGCTTGCACACGGCCAGCGCGAGACTCTGAAGGAGACAGAACGATGAAAACCATGGGTTCAGGGCCCATGCAGCGGCCAAAGGGCGTAATTCACGATGTCACTTGAGTGAATTTACATACTTGCTGCGTTGACGACCCCTCGGTTTTTTGAACTATGACGCGTGTGCATTTAAAAGGTCGTTGACAAGATAGAGCAGGCCTCGTGAGACTTTACGTTCAGAAATTGCTATCGTCGCAGCAGGGCCTCTTGCAGAGCTTTGCTTCAGCCTGTGCGTCAGCAAGCAGCCGGGAAAAAAGGAACGTGCTGTGCAACTCATCTCATTCTGCAACCTGCATTGTACCGACTCGTACCGACTCCAGTTTTTGTTTGATGTCCAATGCTCTGCATAGGGACGGCACTTCCAGTGTGTCAAGGGCATTGCGGACTCCTTGCGTATCTGACAGCTGCTGTCATTTTACCCGGCTTATATGTAGGTGCGGGTATCTTCTTCGAACGACTTTTGCGCAGCCTGGTCGGCAACAGCATCGAGATGCAGCGGAGATTTGGAATGCTTGTTGCTTTCGAGCATTAGCGTTTTGTCGACGTCGGCGGTGACGGACCCCCCGCACATTCAGAATGTGTTGTCCGCTTTCGTCGAAGCATTCTTCCGGTGGCTGGGTACCAGTTGAAACAGCACCTGCAACGGCACTCAATGTGTTGGTTGCTGTGCTCAAAACCCCCATCCGCGGCATCCAAAGAACACGTCCTCGCTCAGGCAGTTCGGGTGCGCGCGATCCTTCTGCGACACCTTGTGCATGCTTCCCCGACGGACCAGCCGACCGGCAGCATTGGACACGACTGTCACTCATAGGACTCTCAAGCTTTCCGAACGGGAAGAACTAACCCATGGCGCACTGCACTGCGTCTCAGCTGCGCATGTGAGATATTTTACTTATAATGCTCCGGGGACCCTCCCAGCCCCACAGCCGACATCAAAATAAAAGAACACTCCCACGTCCCTCCGCAGGACTCAGGCATCTCCACTCACCCCGCTGTGCCTGCCGCCCGTCCCCAACAACACCAGGAGTCCGGCCGTCTGGTGGGGCCGTATACATGCAACATACTCGACACTGTAGAAGCCTGTCTGCATGTAGCAGGAGGGTTTCTAACGGCAGATATCGCGATGTTTGGCAATCGAGCTTGCAGAACCTGTGCCTCGACCCGAGATAAGCAACGGGCCACCACAGGCCAAGCAGGTGTAAAACAGTAAAGCGGTAAACAAAGCATGAGGCCACAACAATCAGCCTGACGGAAAACACGCAGAGGAAACTCCGGATCCGCAGCTCTGAGCTGCGCATGCAAGCCTTCGTGCAGAAGTGCCCACGATGAGAACAGCTGCTTGCGGCAGGAGTACACGGAGCCTGCAGCCCAAGAAAACTTCGCGCGAGCCTGAGCCTACCGGACTGCGGTACATAGGCCGGTATAGATGATTAGGGTTTAGGGTTTAGGGTTTAGGGTTTCGGGTTCAGGGTTTAGGGTTTAGGAAACAAAAGAGCGGGTGTCAGATACCAACAGCGCGCTTAACGCCACCCAAGCACCCTCCCTTCGGAGCGCGGCGGACACCATGAAGCGTAGATTCGTAAGCATAATCCTCAGATAGGCGACACAAACCTGGACACGAAATGAGACGAGCTGCTATTCCCCAAGCCCTCAAGCTTGGAACCCATGTATCCCCAAAGCATAGAATACGATACCACAGTGTCCATGTAGTATCGTATCGTATACTACACTATACTGTATTAGTAATATACCATGTCTCTAAACCAAGAACGCTTGCATTTACATCCTTACCTGTTGTGGTGCTGTCACGATCCATTAGGTGGGCATTCAAGCAATACGTACCGAACCCCTGGCTTTCCCAGCAACAGATCTTTTTGAAGCGACTAAACGAAATCAAGGACCGGTGGCTTGGAGCCCGACTTGCGGAAGCTCAAGGAAGTCTGACATGTTGGCGTCAGGCGTCATCCCAAGATCGCGCACTCAGCTACCGGCTGTTCTTCGTCAAGAATCAGACGGAATCTCTTCGTCACAAACCCTAACGGCCCAACTTAAAACATGGAAACTTTCACATGTTGGACCCCTACGGGGAGCGCAGCCCACTGTCAAGCCTGCCTTCTCAGTCTGCCTTCATGGAGCCAAGCAAAGACTTGAGCACGCCTCCAGCCTGTTCCTGGGCATCAGCGGGGACACCCAAAGACTCCAAAGTTGTTTCATGGCTCCGATGTTTTGGACGAGCTTACACCCCTAAACCTTACCCCCTAAACCCTAAACCCTAAACCCTAAACCCTAAACCCTAAACCCCAAACCCCAAACCACTTCCTGAGATCTGCTCGGGGATCCTGTGCCTTGCGGATATCCTTGGCAATCCGGGCCATCAGGAAGCGGTCAGGATCAGCTGCTTGTCGTGCCTGCAGCTCCTGGATACCTGGACGGCTCAAGATTGAGGACTTTTAGGTTTAGGTTCTATTGCGCTTGATAGGGCTGTCTGAGGTCTTACTCGGTTTTTGCAAGGGATTTTGTAGGGGGGGTTAGGGTTAGGTAGGGTTCAGGGATGTCTGAGCACTAAAGTTGCGGGCTCGGGGCGATGTCAAGGAAGGCCCATGGCAAAAAGAGGAAGCTGGAAGTAACCTTTTTTTCAGCACACACACCCCACCTTTCTCAATCGCAGCTTTAGCCTTGTCCCGAACCTCTCTGGCAAAGTCGGTGTTGTCTGCATCGCCGCCATACTCTTCAGTGGAGATCGGCTCCCCAAACCAGAAGTAGATCTTCTGGAGGGAGTTTGGAGCAGCCACCGGCAAGGAAGTTATTGAGACACTGCCCTTCAGAAAGTTCATGGGCAGGTCGAAGATGATGTCGAGCATATCCTCGTTCCCGACGCAGGCGCAGGGCATGATCGGGTAGCGGTTCTTGATGGCCATGCGGGCGAAGCCGAGGCGCTCCTTCCACATGAGCTCATACTTCATGGCGCTTTTCGGCTTCATGATCTCCTGCCCTCCGCCAGGGTAGACAAGGACATTCTGCTTGTTGGCCATAAGCAAGTCCACGTTGGGCCGGGAACCATCCACAGCACCAAACTGCCGCAGGAGGGGGCCTCGGTCCACTTGGGGACGCCCATCCTCAAGGACTTAATAATCTTACCGTCAGACCCTGTAGCACCGCGTAGGAGAGGTCACTTTAGTTCGATATAGCCTGCTTTAACATGGAATAGTAGTAGTATACTGTAATGTGCTACAGCATACTATAAGTATGAGAAGCGAGAAAACTGTTGGAGAATCCTGCTAATCCGGTACTTGGAAAGAGTCCATGTTGGCAGGGACCCTGAATTGAACAAAATACGTGGAAGATACGCATCTCTTAATAGTATTTGTCACTCGACTATATTGTGCTGTGATTTTGTAATTTACAATTTGTAGCAGTCCTGTCTGCACCCGCAACCGAACCCCTAAACTCTCAGCGCCCGAGCCCCTGAAACGCAAGAGTACAGTATATTATGCGTGACATAGTCTATTGTATACGTAGATTATATACTGTATACAGTACAGATAATATATATATATATACTAATATGTGTATATAAACTACATGCAATGTGCATACACAATATAATTATAATATATATATATATATATATGTACATATACACCCACATACATACATCTGCCTCTGTATATGTGTGTATAGATCTGTACAAAGACACATCATACAGTACATGGTGAAGGTATATAAACTACAATATTTCGTGTACTTTACATTACGTAAAGTATGGAACACGTATGAAACTAGAGAGAATGCTGGTACAAGTTTGTCATACGTAGTAGAATGCCAAGCTGAGAACAGCCCTGAAACCCTGATGCCAGATTCAGAGCAACCCCGAAACCCCGCAGAACAACAAAAAGGGCAGCCACCCCCAAAAAAAAACTCCTGAAACCCAAAACCCTGAGCCCAACTCCAAAACTCCTGAACCCTAAAGCCCCACCCGGACAAGAAAATGATGCAAAAAATCGAAGTTTTACTGTTTTTTGGGCACCCCAAGCCTGAGCCCCTGGATCCTAAGCTCCAGGCCCCTGAGCCCCTACCCTGCTTCCTAAACCCTAAACCCCAAGCCCTAAACCCTAAATCCTAAACCCTAAACCCTAAACCCGAAACCCTAAACCCGAAACCCTAAACCCTAAACCTAAGTCGTAGTCCAGGGGGCCATGGGGTCCCATCCAGTGGAAGTGATCCGCGAGACCCCGCACGAAGATGCCCTTCTCAAGGTAGAGGAGGTGGATAAAGGCGGGCATCCTTGATGTTTCTAGAGGCAATTTAAACAAAAAAAGAGTAGTTGGGGATTGTAGGAAACATACTATACGATCCCCAAGTTCTGGAGTCTGTGTACTTTAGGACGGCGAGAGGCGTTTACAAGTTTCGAGGACTGGGAGGTTGAGGGCTTAGGTGCTACGGTTTGGGGTTCAAGGCCCGGGCCAGGCAAGCGTGCGCTCGGCGCCGGCTCCAGACACTTAACCCTTAAAACTGTAAGTCCTGAACCGGAACTATATAGGCCCTGAGCCCTAAAGCCCTCCGCGAAATCCTCAAATCCTAAACCCCAAGCCCCTAGGCACAGGTCCAGCCCTGGACTAAGCTCACAGTATGTCCAAGAGGACGTCCGTGGTTTCGTCCCTTGCTGGGACCGTTGTAATACTGTTATGATGTCACGGTACGATCAGTAGCCCTGGGCCCTTGGACAAAAGTATAGGGGTGAGGGGATAGGCTTTAATGTATCGGGTTTCGGCTTTCGGGTTTCAGGCTTGGGGTCTACGGCTTAGAATACGCAGGATATAGCACAACAAAGCTTTTGAAGATTTAGGAAGTCGGGTTGCAGCTTTAGAGCTCTGGGCTCTGGAATGCATCCTTCTCACTGCTTTAGCAACACGTCAAGTTCATTCTTCTCCTTGGAGGTTCAGGGCACTTATAACCCAATGATAAGTGTAGCTAAGACCCACTAATTGGGTTACTAAGTACCATGAACCTCCAAGTACCGGGGGCTTTTCAAAGTCAGCATCCTTTTGGGTGGTTTTCTCGGGTCCAAGGTTTTGAGGGATTATGCAGGGTTTTCTCGGAGCTTATATGGTCACATCGGAATTCATATAAGGTCGTAGTGTACCCCTTCTGTGTCCTTATTCCAGTACAGTACTACTACTTCCTTGTGGTGCCCAAAACAACAACATCCCTGAATCCGCAAAGCCTAAAACCTCCCGAAGCCAGAGCAAAACATCTCCAAACCCTAGAAACGTCTCAAAAAGCCTATGCAACCATATGAATCCGACAAAAGCCGTAAGAACCCCCAGCAAATCTCTTCTATAGCCCTATAACAGCCCATGAAACCCCAAAGAGCCTTAAAGCCAAGCATCTCCAGACCATAAAGGGAGTGGTTCATGACGTAGAAGCACGGATACTTTGGAACCCGTTCCAGGCCAACCACCTCGGGGCGCACCCTGCTTTCTATTGCAGGAGATGATGGTACACTAAAGAACAATATAGGATACGACAGCACACGATGGTATACTATAGGATGCTAGAGTGTTCTACGGCACACTATACTGTACTCTCGTACCCTGTAGTAAACGAGAGAATATCAAGCAGGTGGTAGAGTTGTAGGGTCTAGCGGGCCAAGCTTTCAGGTCAAGGTTCAAAGGTCTGGGGTTCGGAAAGTTTTTCGAACAACCCGCACATCATACTTGAAGAGGCAGTAGTATGGCACCAGCATCTTGTTCATGACCTCCAGTGAGGGTGGGCTCCAGTTCAAGATGTCCTCATTCATGACTTCTTGCTCAAGCTCCATCGCCTTCGTTGGCCCAAGCGCTGTCAGCATGTGCCCTGTCTTCATGAGCACCGGCGCCGAGATCAAGGTGAAGAAGGCTGCCACACAGCGGGTACGCATCGCAAGGTCGTGTGAGCTAAAGGTCAGGGCCAGCATGATGAAAATCGCCGCGGAGGTTCCCAGCGCAAAGACCTGCAATGGCTTGCGATCGAAGAGGAGCACGGAGGCCTTGTAAGTCGCCTTCACCAGGGGCTTCTTCAGTGGAGAGTCGACGGGTGTCACGATGGATGCGCAAACAAAGAGGTGAAGGAGTGTGACCGCGACAAGCAGGACGTCAACCAGGATCATGGCTCCCATGGCGGCTGAGGCAAATTGGCGGCCGAGTCCGACCAGCAGAAGAACAGGGTTGTATCCTCCGGCAAAAGAAAGAAGCTGAGGGGCCTAGGCAATGAATATCCACACGTACACGCATATAAACCATCTGATGTAGTAGAGTACAGTATCGTACTTTGGAATAAAGTACAATATGTAAAGTATATCCAAGGCTATGCCATGTACCGCCATGGGTGGACGGGCTCTTGGACGAGCTGTGGTGAGCTCAGTTGCCACGGTAGGAGGATTTGCTCAGGGCCAATAGCATCAAGGCTCAACTGTTGTGCTGTAGTAGGAATCAGGTTGGTGTTTTGGATTCTTGGGCTTATAATAATCCCTATAAATCCTATAAAGTCCCGACTTAGAGAACAGCCTTACGTTAGTCCAGAAGCTTGCAAGGCGCTCGCAGGTTCGCCTCTGCTCGGTTGCAGGGAGGTCACTCTGAAGCTTTCCGGCGGGAAGCTGCAGTTGCTATACCGTACTAGATTTTAGGGCTTAGGGATGAGGTTTAGGGATTTCTGGGATTACGCGCAGGATGGCTTTCCTACAGCTCGAAGAGGGGAGTGCATCACACCCGAAGCCAACAACTCTTCTTCAGTCTCGCTCTTAACCCTCAACAGCTTTAACCTGAAACCATAAACCCTCGTGTTCTAAAATAGAGAGAGAAGTTGTATGTTTGGATGATCCGGTTTAGGACGTTCCGGTTTAAGAACCGTATTTGTTCGTGCTATTCAATTATTCAATTACAATTCTTTTTGCTGCCCGTTTAGACCTAGAGCCCTGGGAATCCACCGAGAGGCCTTGCGCAGCTTTGAATCTCCTGACCCTAACCTTGAAAACCACCCGGAAATGATGGGAGGGTCGGGGGGTTCTGGAATGGAAGGTTGCAGGAGAGTTTCACATAGGGGTACTATATAGGTGTAAAAAAGGTACTATAAGGCGAACTATAAGGTTGGGACCGTCCTGTCTCATGTAAAACCTGCAGTTTTTCAGCTGATATGTCCCGGTCGGAAGGTTTGGAGCCACATGGGCCCTTCTTCGTCTCGACGCTCGAATCCCGGTCGACAATCGGACTGCACTTGAAACGCCCTGTAAGCCTCTTCAAACTCACCCCTTCAAACGTGTTTACAACGCCGATAAAGCTGTATAAAACCCTTGTAATGCCAACGTGGACCCCAAACAGTGAGAGACCATGGGACACGAAACAGCAGCCCGAACACACTCCAAACCCGCCAGACAACATTCCATCATTCCATTTGGCACTCGAAGAACATCCCTCACGAGAACTCGAAGGGCACCCCAAGTTCATAAATAACACGTCAAGGACAACATTTTATTGGGACACGAATGAGCCACAAAAAAGGAAAGAAGGTTCGAGGAGGTCGGCGAGGGGTCACACCCGACACGGGGCGAAGCAAATTGGAGGAGGGGACACAGGCCCCCGCACCGCCCAGAGTCGTCTACACTGCACGATCCAGTACCACAGGATCCCACACACAATAGGGCGACATAGGGTCCCACACCACCAGAGGAGGTGGGTGCTGTTCACACGATCCGGATGGAGGTACGACACAGAGCCTACTTGCAAATGACTAGGCCTTGCTTGCAGGACCTCTAGTCAAATAGCGCCAAACGATAAAGCATGAAAAATAGAATGTTCTTTGAGTTTGACAGTGAATTTCAGCTATGCATGAAAATAACTTGCAGCTTGTTGGCAAGTGCCCCAATAGGATCAGGCACTGTTTGGGAAGTGAAACGGATCAAAGGAATTGTTCCCGGGAGACCTTTTGGGGGGGTGGGGGGTGGGAGGTGCTCTGGGTTGAGGGGATCTTTCTCTCAGGCGCCTCCAGCTGTGATCTGTGGCACACATGATTTTCAGCACTCACTTGCAGTCCTGCCAGTATTTTCAATCCTTACATTTTGCCAGCAGCCTTTTTGAAATTTTCCGTGATGGTTTGAATATATTTGAATTGTATATACATGATTTTCAATGAATATATTTGAATTCTTCAATGTTGATGCAAGCTGGTTCATATTGGGAAGGGGACATTTTTGGATACCTTCGTTTTAGTGTCCACCCAACCCCACCCTGAATTCGCCCACGCCACCAAAAATCGGGCGCACGTTGCTTACGCTGATGGGGGGGGAGGGGTGCGGGTGTGGCGGGGGGGTGGAGGGGGGGGGGTGGAGTTACTGGTGGAGGGGGGGGGGTTCTGCAGCAGAACGGTCGCACGCGTGAGCGTTTTGCAAATCCACAAAGCTATCGGTTTCGGGTTTAGGGACTGGCGATACAGGGCCGGGTGGGCAGAGTGGAGCTTGAATTTGTGCTCCCCCAAGCGAGTGTGGGTGGGCCCTCGACCTTCAACCCTAAACCTGCCCTAAAAGGCCCATGGCAACCCCCCCTTCTCGAGCCCAGAAGGGGGGGTTGCTTTGGGCCTGTAAGGGTTCGAAGTTCTGTATGGCTTTCGGATTTAGGGTTTAGGGCTTCAAGGGAGCGGCGCTACAGGGCCTATAGGGTTTAGGGTTTGGGGTTGAAGGGCCTGAGGGGAACGGCGCTACCCCCTGGCCTTTGCCAGGAGAGCTGCCAGAGGCAAGTTTTAAGGGTTTAGAGCCTGTGAACTGCTTGCTTCGAGCTGCCAGGGGCAAGTTTTAAGGGTTTAGAGCCTGTGAACTGCTTGCTTCGAGCTGCCAGGGGCAAGTTTTAAGGGTTTAGAGCCCGTGAACTGCTTGCTTGGAGCTGCCAGGGGCAAGCTTTAAGGGTTTAGAGCCTCTTAACTGCTTGCTTGGAGCTGCTGGGGGCAAGTTAAAAGGGTTTTGAACCTCTCAACTGCTTGCTTCGAGCTGCCAGTTTTGCGTTGGCAAAATTGGGCCGCGCTCTGGCACACTTTCCGGGGGGCGGCGTGCCAGCGTGCCAAGTGTGCCAGGGCTGCCTTGGTCTCCAAAAGGTTTAGCACAGAGGCGAAAAAGGCGCGAATGAGCGGCAAACCTCTCTCTTATACAGGACTCCCCCGACCCCCCTGAAGGCTGTGCAGAGCCAGCAGGAATGACAGTTGATTACATCACATTTTAATCTCCATGCTCCTCGAGTCTGCAGGAATGCAGCCTCCAGGCCGCAGGACCGCATTCCAGTGAGCAGCAAAAATGCATTTTAGAAGGTTTTTGGGTACTCAAATGAATATCTAACAAAAATCACCCTTGAAAAGGCAGGAGCATTTTCAGCGGCTACAAATTTTATTTGTCATCCGTCACCCTTGTCACCTTTAGAATCGTTCTACAAGACCAGAGATTGCATTTTAGAAGATGCGAACGATCCACCCTCTAGAAATGCATTTTTGCAGACAAACTTTTACGAGTACCCAAATTCCTTCTAAAATGCATTTTTGCTGCTCACTGGAATGCGGTCCTGCGGCCTGGAGGCTGCATTCCTGCAGACTCAAGGAGCATGGAGATCAAAATGTGATGTAATCAACTGTCATTCCTGCTGGCTCTGCACAGCCTTCAGGGGGGTCGGGGGAGTCCTGTATAAGAGAGAGGAAAAGGCGCCAAACTTGCCAACTTCAAACACATGCCAGAATCCAAGAAGGATGTGCTCTGAAAAAAATGCTGCTAAAGTGTTTGTTCCAGTCCCTTTTGTGTGTCGGTTGCAAGCCTTGTCTGTGCGACAAGCTAAGGCCCGTGGTCACAATGCATCCGCAGTGCAATAAAGCGCGACATCATGGTTCAGCTGCGCATCCAGAAAGTTAAGCGGTTAATCTGCAGGGCTAAATGCTGTGAACAACGTGTTTTGCATTTGTTTGGAGCTGTGTTGAGTGGCACTTGAGTTGTGTGAGCTGTCTGCGACGATGTAGCTTCGTTTTGAGAGTGTTTAAAGCCCAGAGTTTGACCTAGAAAGCTCTTTGGCTCAAGACGTGAGAGCTACAAGAAGTGTTTAGAGTGCCTGTGAGCTGTGTGACGTGAAGGGTTACTTGCACTTGGTACTTTGGAACACGAGTGAGTTGCTCGTCTTGTGCGTGACTTTGGTCTTTTACGCTGCCGCTAGGTGAGCGTTACATTTTATTTTCTTGTTGTGTGCTTCAGTTTTATGTTGTTCATCTTATTCAAATTCCGTATCCCTGCTAAGAATTGTTTCGGAGTACTAAGCTCTGTACACGAAGCTTGGTTTCTTCCTCTTTCTTCCGGAGCCAAGTGAGGAACTTGCACGTCCTCGGGTGAAGGAGCGGCCATGGTAAAGCTTGTTGCTAAACACATGGCCTTGGAGCACCGAAGTGCTCCGCTACCATGTGAAAAGCAGAGCAAGCATAGCGGACTATTTTTAACTTGAGCCAAAGCCAAGGTGGCTTTGTCACCGTTGAAGCTTTCGAAGCTTGGTGACTCCAAACGAACAGCAGTTGAAAGCAAATTCTGTCACTGTTAAACAAAGGAGAACTAGCAAAAGTACCATGCAAAAGCTTCGGAGTACTTTTCAACTGACTCAAGCAAGTTCCAAGCACCTCAGCAGGAGTGCATTCTTTCTGGACACGTTTTGTAGTAAATATCCGAAGAACGACGAATCTGTACGCATTAACAATGCAAGCATGCTTCCTTGTGTGCTCTTCAATACGGCTGAAGAATTTGGCCGTTGCCCTCCTAGCACGAGCGCGCAAACGAAGCTGCGAAGAATCGCTTTTTGAACCACCCTCCACTCCCTGCATTGTATAGTATAGTTTTCATACCTTTTCCATCTGTACTCCTGTAAGTCCGAGAGGAATATTACACCGCAGTTGTGTTTCACTTGTTCACGTCGTATTTTCTTCGAACGGACTCTCCATTCCACCGCTACGAAGTACTGGTGGAAAACGAGAGTCCGTACTTCGTAAGCTGCTAAGAGTTGTTCCTAACACTAGTGTCCGAGAATCTCCTTCTGCTATTTCCATGCCCCTCCGCCGATCGGTTCTGCAAAGCTTGTGGGGTTTCAAGGCCTGCAACTCTTACCCAAGCCAAGAGTGTGCCGTCTCAAACCTGCATTAAAAGTTCACTTCATCCAGTCGGGGACTTCGGCCTCCCCATGGCCCAGTGGATCATCTGCCACCACAGCATCGTAGAGGGTGTCGGTGACCCTCACCACCACGATCCTTTTCAAGATGGCCAGGTCGTCCTCGGACAGCTTGGCCAAGGCGCTCGGCTCGGGGATGCCGCCATCGAAAGCTTCGAAGCCATCGGCCAGGCGCTTGAGTGTCTGCACCGTGAAGATGCGGCGCACCTCGGGTGGTAGCACCAGGTCCTTGTAGCGGGCGTCCATCTGGCCGCTCTCGCTGCTCAACCGACTTACGACCTGCGGGCTAAGTTTTCTGGCTTTGCTCCCTCAGCTGCTTTCATGGACCTTTGTGTGCGGTACATGCGCAAGCACGATGACTTCAGGAGGCCAGCCAAACATTGTTGATTTGATCGGCCAACTCTTCTGTTGACATACTTCTTGCATCTATATAAATTTGACTGCACGACAGAACGAAACTGTTTTGAGCCTTGCCCTCATCGCCAGGAGGCTCTGGTGGATATGGATCACACAATCTCACAGGGATGATTGGCAGATGATGCTTCCAAGCGTAGCTCAACTCATGATATGTTTCGTATCCCGCACCAGTCATCTCTCCATAGTCGTTTGTGCAGACTGCCACCATCATTTTGGCAAAATACAAGCCCGCCATGGTCATTGGACCAAAATCATCACCAGGCATGGCCCGCACCATAAAGGTGGGTACTCCTCTCTGTTGGAGCGCGGAGTTGAGGTCACGGATTCGGGTCTTGTTGAGGTCTGTGTTGAATCGCCCAGAAAGCATCAAATGAACCCGGTATTGGGCCCTCTGTCGGGAAGGATCGCTTCGTAGTGGGCCAGGTCGCAAGACGTGTGGATTGCGCCTGGATCCCGTTCCGCGGCCGACATCTCGATGTGGAGCCGAAGGAGACATGCTCTGAGAGTGAGATGGATCCCAAAAAGTGTATGTCCTGATCATACCATCCACAACCAGACTGACTTCACAGGAAGTGGAAGAAGCAACAATGATGGCTTTGGAAATCTGGGGGGGCTTTCCCAACCCCAGCTGCACTGATTGAACGGCCTGGTTGTTCTGCATAATACGAACATGACTGTCAGAGTCGCATTGGATGACTGGCTCAGGCATGCATCTGACAAAGCTCCCAAGAATCTCTGGATGCCCCTGCATTGCTGTAAGGGCCCTGTCACACTTTTGGCAGCCATCCTCGAGAAATACCAGTTTTGCCACAGAGTTTGAACGCTGCCAGAAACAGACCAACTTCACGGACATTTCGGCGCTTGGGTCTTGCCCCGCGACCAACAGGCAAAAATGGCTCAAGTAGACTTCCAGGTACCCAGCTCCAAAAACGGCTTCTACTTCTTCCCATCTGGACTGAGTGGACCTCCAGACTCTGCTCGCCCCGCGGCAGCAAGGAACTAATAGGCGCACAGGCTCTTTGTAGTCAACATTTTCCGGTGTTATCTTTAGAACGGGGCTTGCAGGAACTTGGTCTTTTGGTAAAGGTAAAGGCAGTAATTCCCACACTTCGTCCTCGACAGTCTCTATTTCGGGTCTGAATCTCGAAGGCAGCCAAGGTGCAATTTCCAGCAAAACCCCCGACGAGCTCATGTGCACATTGAATGGCTCCCACGTAAGTTCCCAATCGCTTCGTCGTACTACTATTGAAAAGTAGAGCGGCGCGAGGACACACATAACGAGCAGGAAACAGGCCAGAACCATCACCCAAGTGTACGTCCAGGGCATTCCAAGCCAAAGTGCCATAGAAACTAGTAAAAATGCATTCCAAAGAAACAAAAACACCATCGATTTCAGAGCACGACGGCCCAAAGGCCAACAATAAAAAAGAGCGCACAAGCCATAAGCCCTCCGAAGGCAACGGAGAGAGAGATGGAGAGCTCTGGGTCTGATGACTGGAACGGTTGGCAATAGGAGCTGGGAATCGTCAGTCTGAGTTGAATCAAGTTCAGGTGGCGCTGCAAGTGCAGGCGCCCCTATAGTAGTCGCAACCACAGAATCCTCACCGCTCTCTCGGGATCTTTCATGTGGAGGGAGATCCCAAGCTTGCGCGGACATCACAACATCGGTGATGTTCAACAACTAAAGAGCTGCGGGCTCGTGAGCTTAAAGCCTATATAGACTTCCAACTTCACTTGGCTTGCTTTATCGATTACGTTTGTGTTTCGGTTTAAGGTTTAAGGTTCAGGGGTTTCGGGTTTAGCAGCCTGTTCAGCAAACTTGATTGCTTCTTTTTGGATAGTTGTTGAAATCTCGTCTGGCCAAGGATGGCTTCCCTACCTTGGAAAAGGGCGGAAAATGGCTGTCTAGAGCCTGGCGACTTCGGATCGAATTAGGGTCTAGGATTTAGGTTGGGAGCATCAATACACTTTCCGGGTTTGTAGGCCACGGCGAGTTGTTCTTGAAGACTTTGAATGATGACAGAGCCGTACTGCGCTGAGAGGTAGACCTTGTCAGGCCTTAAGAGGGGTTCTTCATTTAGTTCTCCGGGATGTTCGCAGGAGGGTCGACACCAACAAGCGCGACCTCGCGGCCCAACCTGAACCAAAAAATGGGGCTGTAAGGACCGGTCGAGAAATTAAGCTTGGGGCCGGGCTTGTGGTTCTAGGGTTTAGGGTTTAAAGCCTTAAGCTCTGAAGCCGAAAACCTAAGTCCTAACACTCTAAGCCCACCACTAGAGGAAAACAAATTTGGAACAACCCCATGCACATGAAGGGCTGGTGGTGGGCTCAAGCTGGACAGTTTAGGGTTCATGGTTTAGGCAGAACCTAACCCTAAACCCTAAACCCTAAACACCCTGAAAGGTGGGTCTTAAGGTTCAAAGTCTCGGGGTCATGCTTCATGTGCAGAGAGTCAGAAGAATGCTGATATTTGTGACATGTGCCTTCCAGTAGAGTTTCGAGGTTTTTGTTGAGGGTTTCGAGGTTAGGGTAACCGGTCTTACTTACCACCTCACGCAATCTTGTAACTTGTAAATAACCCCGAAACTAGGATATCTACCCGAAGATCCCAACCTAAATTCCCATCCTAAGAACTATGCTTACAACTATCTGAGTGCCATACGCCCGATCTTACCAACAGGACACCTCCGACCTCACGCTGGCGCTAGAGATTGATCAAAACTTCCCCACGCTGTCCCGGAAGCAATTTTGCCTTGACAGCCAATTGGCAAAGCTGCTGTGGGCGAACCGCCTGACCCACAAGGACGGCACCAAGGTTGATTACCCAGCTCTGGTCAAATGCCTGCTCCCCCAGCTCCAGGAAGCGGAAAAGGGGGCACACGTCCTCCTCTTGGTTACAGATAGCCGTTGCTTTCTCTCATTTTACCCTTCTTTTTGCAACATCTCGCCAGAATGCAATGGGAGGGCATCTACAAAGAAAAGTGGTTTCCACTTTGTCAACACCCACGAGGCGGGCCTCGCTGCAGTTCACTTCACGTGGACCGCTCCCGAAATTCTCACCGTCCTCAGGATCTTCAAACAAACGCAAATCAAAGAAGGCCAAGGCAAGCAAACGAGATATGACGTTACACAAAGACCCTTACTGCTCTTGTCTAGCGGCAATGCATCGCATGCGTTGTTGCTGTTGCCACAAGCCCCTCAAGTCTGGGCGCGTGCTCTCTATTTAATTCCCGCAGGAAGGCTCCCGCGCACTTAACCTTAATACCAGGATACTCAATGAGGGAGGATGGCACCTGAAGGAACACTCTCTTGCGCAGCAAGTCCCTGACGAAAAAGCACTTGCCGGTCTGTCAGTTGGACCAAGGCACCCATTGAAGAAACACACCAGGCCGAAAGATACAAAGTTCAGGAATGGCATGGCGATGCTTTCCAGACGCGCCTCAATTGGAAGAATCGCCTTTGCAGCTGGGGCTTTGTTACCGCTCATGCCATGCAATCGCGACCGCTGCCCGGTGGAGCCAGCGGGAAAGGCGCAGGTTGCACTTGCCTGCCCTGACGGCACCCAGGCCGAGATGCATGGCCGTCAACGCCGCCGTACGCGGCATGTGCAGAGAGCCGTGTCATCGTGAGGGCGACCTCCACTGCAACCAATTCTAACTTTCAGCGGCAGGCAGAGTGCTTCTCTCGCTTCCGGAGCCCCACATCAATGATCTCCCTTCTGGAAGTAAAGAAGGAACCCTTGAACAGTGCTTCCCGCAGCAAGTTACAGTCAAGCGGGCTGCCACCCGTCCGAGCTGCAAACATGGTCGAGCTCATGACGTCATAGTGCAAGCGCCTTTCGGCCAACGGCGTCTGTTGGTCGATTAAAAATCCGACCAATAGCCTCATATGGCTTTATCCGGGTCTGAAGAACCTCGTAGCGTCCTCCCATGTAACCAATCTGCATTCCTGCAGTTTGGCTTCCGTCGCAAGTGCACCACGTTGGCGCCAGCTGGACTGGTTGTCCTAAAGGCACGCGTGTTCTTAGCCTTGATGTCTCTCTTGCCTCTCGCCGTGCCGGCGCCTAAGTCCTGGTGCCGAAAGGTCCTGGACCTTCCCAACCTCGCCGCTTCCGGCTTACCTTGCCTTCTGACATGATGGTGGTCCTGGCGGCTAAAGCCTCGGGAAGATTGTGTGAAACTTTCAAGGCACGCACTGAGGCCTCTCGCGACAAAGCCCGCGTTTGTTGTGAGAGCATGTGTCGGTAAAAAGCAACTGGTTTTTGAGTGTGAGCTCCTACCTTATTATCTAGTGTCCCTCCACCTCTAGGGCTCATTGTTGCAGGGCCGTAACCTGCTTGTGTTCATCGATAACGATGCAGCCAGGGCGTCCCTGGCCAAAAGTTTCACTAGAAAAGAAGAGGGAGCGGCTATTACCTTTTCTGCCGTGCAGGAAGAAGAGCGTCTCCGCGTCAATGCCTGCTTCCTGCGTGTTCCAACCGCTAGTAACATTGCGGACGGTCCAAGTCTGAAACTGGCTTTTGATCAGCACTCCCACCAGCCGGGGATCACCCTTCCCATTCAATGGACAGACGCGGCAGGGCTGCTCAAAGAGAAACTGTACGAGCTTATCCGGCCCCAACTGCGTTGGGTGCCGCAATTCGCATACCAACCGGGGAGGGACTTGTATGACGCACTTGCCAGGGTTCAGATCTGGATAGAGAACTTCAAAAAGTGCTATGGGAAAGGGAACGGAAGCAAATTCGCGCAACGGGAAAGGGAAGAAAAGCCGGACAACAAAACTCTGTGTGTCGGGGGGGCTATCCTCAGTCTCGATCTTAAACAGGCCTTTGATAGAGTGAACCGCCAGGCGCTGGCCACCTCGCTCAGGGGCCTTGGGGCGGATGAAAACGTGACAGCCGCCATCATCTCCCTCTTAGACACATCACGGTATCACATCATCAGTGATCAACAACACAGCTCTGTGGGCACTACACGAGGCATCCGCCAAGGATGTAAGATCGCCCCCATGCTCTGGGTGGCCATATCCACTCTCCTACTTGAGCGATTGGGGGATGCCCTCTCGGGCCCCCACGGGCAAGCCACTACCTAGCCACTACCTTCGCGGACGACACGTTGGTGCAATGGCTCATCGAGACCTCAGAAGACATTGCACAACTCAGCAGTTTCATCAATAAACTTCTGGGGGTCATGCATGACTTGGGGCTCCTGGTGAACATCACTAAAACAGTCCTGCTTTTGAAGGTTTGTGGCCCGGGGGCAAAACGAGCGCTCAAAGCTCACGTTGTGTACAAAGAGGGGAAAAAATGGTGGCGAGCTCGCCAGCCTGACGGGGGCGAAGCACTCATCCCGATTGCTCATTACACGAAATACCTGGGTACACACCTTTCACTTCAGGCGGAGGCACACAAAGTTGTAGGGCATCGAATTGAAGAAGCAAACCAACGAACTGGTAAAATCCAGAAGGCGGTCAGGTCTGGACAGGTCTTCGGCCTTGCGCACAGAGTACGCATCTGGCAGGCCTGTGCTGCATCGAGCGCTACCTTCGGACTCCTCGCTTTCGCGCCCTTGGCGAAGGCAGTGGCGCTTCTCAGGGGCTGGTTCTATCGCCAACTAAGAGCCGTAGCTGACTCCCCCGCCCATATCACGCATGAGAGCAAGCAGCATCTTAGACAGAGACTTGGGGTTCAGGATCCGGTTGACGCCACGGTTCAACGCCTGAGACACAAACTAGAGAAGCTCCGGGTGGCTGAGCCAAGCATCATCAATCAACAACAAACTATTCAGTACTGGGAGGGCATGTTGCAGCAATACCTCATCTTTCATACGGACAATACAAAGGTTGAGCCCAGTTCCAGGCTGCTCTTGGTGCCCGCGCAGCAGACACAGCCGGTGGCCTGCACGGTCTGTGGCGTATACTTCCCGTCAACCAAAGCCATGCGGCAGCATTGGGGAAGAGTACATAAGGTGCATGTCAGCTCACACAGACAAGATGATGAAACCTATCAACAACAAGATCACTACTGGAGGTATGCCACAATGCATACATTGCGGAATGAAAGCTGGCTCGTGGGACTCACTGAGGAATCACGTGCTCAACAACGTCTGTGGTTGGCAGCAGCAACCCGGCTCCACTCGGGATGCCAAGAAACAGGACAACACTTCCTCTCCTCGTGTGCACCCTGTGGGGAAAGTAGGAGCGAGCGATGAATCCGAAGCTCTCCCACCCATAGACCAAAGTGCTAGGGAGCCACCGGCAAGTGCTGCCCCTGAGAACCCGAATATTCCACTGCTGCGGCAAACCGAAGTGGTTACTGCAGCCGGGGTCCAAGGTGCAAATCGTCAGCACCCTTGCTGATGGTCTTACCCAGAACTGCGGGTTCTGTGGGCAGTGGATTGCCAAAGGGGGTTCAGTAAAAGAACACATCAAACGAAAACACCCCCACATATGGCACACTAGCATAGGCAGTGGAAGTTGAGTGTGCAGGGTACAAACCCCACCTCGTTAAAGACAGAGAATGTGACTTCTGCAAGGTCACTCCGGAACCCCCCTTGGCTCAAGGCCGCATTGCTCGAGGTGGTTAAGCCACCAGGGACGCCGTAGAAGGGGTGGGAGTCCGTAGCTAAAGGTTTGGCTTTGCTTGGAACCCTACACGTA